ATTTTACTCCAGAGTAAAATTTTACTCTCATTTTGTCAAACAAAATCAATGCACATACTAGAGTAAAATTTATTCTCATTCTGTCAAACAAAAACAAAGGACATACCAGAGAAAAAAAAATAGAGAAATAGAGAGATAGAGAGAGCACATATATTGCCTTAGATCTGGTTTAAACTATAATAAAATTTTACTGTTTGAAAAATAGAGCATGATGAGGAGAGAAAGAGAAAAAGAAGGACAAAATATAGATTTGAGATGATAAATCTCAAATCTGAGGCCATCAATCTCAGATTTGAAGTCTTGGACATTAAGGATGATGATTGTGGCATCGAATGGCGCTGGTGGTTGAGATGCTAGTAGTGAAACGGTGGTGGTGGTGGCGGTGGTGGTGACGAACATCATCGATGGTTGAGATGGTGTTGGTGGAGATGACGGAGGTGGTGGAAACGATGTTAGTCATGGTAGTAGAGATGGTGGTGGTGGTGGTGGTGTAGATGGGGGTGGTGGTGGTGGAGAAAGCTCTTAGAAAAAGATAGAGAAAGAAAGAGCTGAGAGAGATGACAAACTGATGGAAAGAAAGAGAGAAAGATAAAGAGTGTGTGTGAAGGGGTAAATTTGTCACACAAAATATAAATTTGAAATTTTTTACCCTTTATACAAGACTTTATAATTATGTGAGGATTTTGAAAGTATAAATTTTTTTTTTGGTCCTTTTAATAAGAAAAAGAAGATAAGAGGGATTTATGGCTAAATTTCCACTGACTGTATCAATTATTTTTTTCATCTTCAATTCACTGTTTCAACTTTTGTTTCTTTTTTGGGTCTTTAAACATGTGAATTATTTTATTTTTTTCATTTTCATAAACTGAAACTTTTGTTTCATCAATTCAATGTTTTCTTTTTGGGTCTTTAAAAATGTGGATTATTTGATTTTTTCTCCCCTTTTTATAAACTGAAACTTTTGTTTCTTAAATTTACTGTTTGTTTCTTCTCCTTCTTTTTTTTTTTTTTTAATTGTGACACATTTGACCATGAATTTTGAATCTTGTTTCAAATAAGGACAATTGAAAATATCATTTTTTAATTTCAAGGGCAAAATCGTCAATTTAATAAAATATAAACTAATTTGACAAAAATAAATGTCAAAAAAATATTTTTAATTTTTTAAAAATCATTTCTATCTACTAAAGATAAAATTATGTAAAATTGATCAAAATCAATAAAAATTACATGATTAATTTTTAAAAATTAATTTTACATGATCATCATCCAAACACATAATAAAAATTAATTTGGTAAAAAAAAAAAATTTCTAAAATATTTATCAATTTTACATAATTTTATGTTTAGTAGGTAGAAATAATTTTTTAAAATTCAAAAATATTTTTTTGATATTTATTTTTGTCAAATTAGTTTATATTTTATTAAATTGACGATTTTACCCTTGAAAAATCTAATGGTATCTTCAATTGTCTTTATTTGGAATAAGATTCAAAATTCAGGGTCAAATGTGTCACAATTGAAAAGTCAGGGACTAAAGTGACACAAATTCCAAATTATAGGGACTATTAGTGTAATTCACCCTATAAAATATTAACGACGTCATCAATTGAACCAAATTAATACAAAATTTAAAATTAAACATAAAAATTGATCTAATTGAAAATGTAAGGGCCAAAATGACACAAAAAACAAAATGTAAGGACTACCGGTGTAATTTTTCCTTTTCATTTTCATAAACTGAAACTTTTGTTTCTTCAGTTCACTTTTTTTTTTTATTATTTATTTTTGGGTCTTTAAAAATGTGGATTATTTGATTTTTTTCATTTCATAAACTGAAACTTCTGTTCTTTTGTTTTCCACTTATATTTTTCATCCTTTTTTTTTTTTGGTTTATATATATTTGTTTTTTACACATACCAATTTCTTGCTCTCAAGGATCATAAAATACTTTTTACAGTGACAACATGAGGAAGATTAATTCATTATTTATTTCTTATTATATGAAGTTTAATATTTTTTACTACAATAAAACTAATTATTTGCGGCTTCAATTTTACGGCATATATTATATGCATGTTGTAATTAGTACATTTTATGATATTTTTTTTTTTGCAAGCCGTTAATGGTTTTTCAATAACGACATACATACCGTGTAATTCGTTAATTCATATATTTATGACATACAAAAGTATGCCGTAAAAAATATATATTTTCATGATTTAAAAAATATGTCATAAAATATATGCATTTAAGACGACATACATTTCATATTGTAAAATATTATAATTTTACACGGCATGCATTAACATGTTGTGAAAACTTCTAAAAAAAAAAATTCAATCCGAATTTTTTATAGCATGCAAAAGTATGCCGTAAAAAAATATATATTTTCACTGCATCCAAAATATGTCATATATTTGCTCTTAAGACGACATACATTTCATGCTGTAAAATATTATAACTTTACACGGCATGCATTAGTATGTCGTGAAGACTTTTATTAAAAAAAATTTCAATCCGATTATTTGTTTTTAATTTTAAAATGCAAACAATTTCCAATCAAGCTTCTCACCTTAAATTTTCCTAATTGAGAGCAACTTAAAAAGTAATTTGTACATTATTTTATAATTTAATGTATTCTTTTAAGGGATAATTGCACCCAGTGAGATTTTAAGAAAAAAAAATTATGGCCTTGTTTAGTTTGGCTTTGGAAAAAAGATTTTGGAGAAAATTTTTGAAAATTTTGTTTGGTTTGTAATTTTTCTCAAAAAAATTTCAAAATCACTTTCTCTCTCCTGCACATCAATCAATCACCTTTTCTCTCTCCTCTCTCATTTTCAATCAATTTTTCTCTCACATACATCTACTTAATTATAACAAAATATCAAATCATCCAAAACTCCAAAACTATTTTCAAAATATACAACTAAACAAACTACAAAAATTTCTAAATTCTCTTCCCAAAATATTTTTTGAAAATTTATCTCCCAAAGTCAAACCAAACAAGGCGTATATGTTTTTGAAAAAGTTTATAATTTTAATTATTAATATTTATATTGCTTCTCACTGATTTGTAATTATTTTTTTCAAAATTATATTAATTTGATATTTTCCCTTCTTTTAATAATTTATTTTTTTTAACTTTTTAAATGTGCCTAATCTGAATAAAAAATAAAATATTTGTAAAAAAAATACAATAAAATATAATATATATAAAAATATATTAAATTTTGTATTTTTTTTGAATTTAGTGATTTTTTTTAGAAAATTAAAAATATTTAGTGATTCAACCTCTCTACAATCTCCTCTCTGATTCAACGTTGACCTAGAAGCTGAAGAAGAAGAAGAAGAAGAGGAGGAGGAGGTTAAGAATGGAGACACAGTCGAAGAGGTCAAGTCGAGGTCTCTGTATTGTATACCCACTTTATTTAGGCACAGTGACAGTTAGTTAGGTCTCCTCTCTCACATACAACAAACACAACAAATCGACTATTTAGATAGTGCTCCATCTCCGTCTCCGTCTTCGTCTCCGTCAGCAATTGGGTCTCTCTCGCTCTAGATTCAGGTTTGTTCTTTCTCTCTCCGATCCTTGCTCGCTCTCTCTCTCTCTCCCCCATCGAAGACACTTTTGAAGTCTCGACCTTCGTATTCTCAAGGTAATTTCTATATCTATTCTCTCTTCTTCATCGATTGAAATTTTGGAAATCGAAACCCTAGTTTTGAGTTTTTCTATGATTAGAGCTTAAATCATGTATACTTGACGTGAGAGTTGTTTTTCTTGTTCTTGCCCATCATGAATTTTGTTTTTCTCTGATTTGATCCTGATTTATGGTGATTTTCTCAGATTTGCTCGTTATCTCTGATCAGAACATTCCTAAGATTCGCAAGGTCACAATCTTAACCACAAAGCAATGCAGGTTCTCATCAAACTGCATAAGATCATACTCCCTTTATCTAGACTCTGAAATTGCAAGTTTCCTTAGGCAGCTTAAAAGGTTTAATCAATGGTTGGATGACTTGGTTGCAGATGGAATTGGGACCAATGAGAGAATAGAGACATTATGGAAGAAGTTATATGGATTTCTATTAGAGCATGTTTAGTCGGTCTTTGTTGTTAGTAATTGTGGCTGTGTTTATCTTTGAATTTTGATATACAAATTACCTCTTTCTAGCAGCATTGTCACAGTACTTATTATTTATTTCTTTTGCATCTCAATTTATATTTCATATTGTATATCAAGTCCATGAGTTAGGAGTTGGGGATTTTGCATTGGAAATTATGAGTATGCAACATTATTTTGTTAGAGATGTTATGTGATGCATATTATGTGTGAATAGTGAGTATGAATCTGCCTTCTACACATGTTTAGTGCTTGTAAAACTCAAAAAAAGTGAAACCATGAAGGGTAATGGGTGAAATTAGTTACAGTGATTTGGTCTTTAATTCAAAATTTGAAAGAAATGATTTATTGAGGAGTCCATTCCAAGTTTCTGATAAATTAGTTTCTTACTTCAACAAATGGCATGCCCTAGTGAGATGCACTAACTCCTCTTTTTCTTGGCTACACTGGTGATCCTTGGTGAGGAGTTAGTGCATCTCACTAGGGCATGCCATTTGTTGAAGTAAGAAACTAATTTATCAGAAACTTGGAATGGACTCCTCAATAAATCATTTCTTTCAAATTTTGAATTAAAGACCAAATCACTGTAACTAATTTCACCCATTACCCTTCATGGTTTCACTTTATTTGAGTTTTACAAGCACTGAACATGTGTAGAAGGCAGATTCATATTCACTATTCACACATAATATGCGTTACATAACATCTCTAACAAAATAATGTTGCATACTCATAATTTCCAATGCAAAATCCCCAACTCCTAACTCATGGACATGATATACAATATGAAATATAAACTAAGATGCAAAAGAAATAAATAATAAGTACTGTAACAATGTTGCCAAAAACAAGAGAATGCTGCTGTATCAGGTACTCCATGCCATTTACATATATCATCCCTTCTACTCTAAAATTGTTAGACGTAAGCAATTCATGGGATTAACAAGTTCTAGAGAGGTAATTGTGTGTTATATAGTCTTTTATATATCATAATGTGGATTGTTCAAACAAAGTAAATAGGCTGAAACTAATAAAATTAAATGTTTAGCTTATAGGTCAAAATTTATGGATACTTGAACACCTTTTTTTTTTTAAGTGAGAGAAGAAAAAAAATGAATGGAGGATACAAAATGGTAATTATAGGGAATGCTTGGTTATATTTCAGAGTATTGATTGGATCACATCAGACTCTATTACTTCATTGTTCTATGGATATCTATAAGGAAAAAAACAACAGTCTTCATGTAGAAGAAGAAATGCAAGAAAACAAAAAAGGAATTCAATTTATTCTATGTCGCTTGACATTGGTGTTTTGCTGGACATTAGCATTAGTATGATCCATAGTGCCTATGACCCAGATAACCCAGTAATTGAACAGCAAAGGGTATGCGTGATTTTAAAATTTCTCTGACCCAGTCAAGGGGCCTTTTTAACTAATCATTTTTTTAAACAAAAAAATTCTGCAGGTTGCTACTGTTCAAGGTCTTTCAGGAACTGGTTCTCTTCGACTTGCTGTTGCACTCATTAAAAGGGATGGTGATCGGAATCTGGTTATGAGGTTAGAGGATTAAAAGTGCAGAAAATCAAGACAAGATGAAAAAGAAAAAAAATCTCAAGAGCCAACCTTAGAATCCCTTAAGCACCACATCTAGGGATATAATTGCATTACACAATTATAAATCTAGGACCAAGGATCCTTGGTCCTTGGTCCTAGGTCCATGATCTGAGTTTTATTCTTGTACTCAACTTCATTTAACTTAAGGTGCCATTTAACTTTTTTTTCCACCTCAGAATTTTTGAAGGCCAAGTGTTTGATGAATTGTGAAGTTTCCTTAATTCTTGAGCATAAATATGAACAGCTGTAGCAGATGGCTGATGATCTAATGAACCAAGTTTCTCAGTGAGTATTACTTGTACAGGTTCATCTCTCATTCTTTTATTTTTCCTGTTAATTATAGATAACATTACAAATTAGTGCTGTTGAGGAACTTTTCACGATACTGCTATGCTGCCATTATGTTGCCACTTTGGTACAAATTTCCATCAATTTACTTCTGTGTGTTGGTTAAGTGGTTTGAACTTATCTACTACCCACTATTTCATTGGATAAGGGCTTAATAGAAGTTGCTGAAACTTCTTGGGTCATGCTATAGACTGAGTGCTTTTTTGGACTTCGATGGCTAGATTCCCACATTAAGCATAATTAAATGGAGGCTTATGAAACTTCTTGGGTCATGCTATAGGCTGAGTGCTTCTGTTCATCAATTACGTTCTAAAATAATTATGTTCTGTTCATCAAGTGAGTTTCTTGAGCTGTTTGCTTCAATTGGATTGGATTAAGCTTCTATTTGTGTTAGGTTTGATTCTAGTTTTTCTGAAATGGTGGGTACTTTGGGTCAATGAATTCTAAGGATTTCTGAGAAGAAGTTGCATTTGGATCAATGAATATTTCTAATTGATAGCAGAATTATTGTCTTTTTATAATTTGGCCTCATTTGGAACTAGTTTTTTTTAATCTGATTTGAGGGGGAAAAAAAAGGGTAAATATTTCTATTCCTGGTGGTTTTTGATATTATACTTTCTATCAATAGTTTGTCCCTCTTGGTGGTTTTAGATTTTATGGATTTTACTGATTCAAGTGTTCATTGATGTTAACTGTTTTTCTGATTTGCCCCGATAGTTCCTAATTGTTTGTTGTGAATTTGTCTGTTTATTTGGTAGTAAAATTTGTTTGGTCCTAAAGATAAAGTATATCATTTGTACGGAATTTGTTGACTTGTGTAGACATGCATGAGTTTTTTCCACTTCTAAAACATCCAAATTGTAATATCCCTGTTCTGTAATATGTTAATTGGTCCTTAATACGAATGTGATTATGTGTTTTGATATGATTTGTGTGCCATTATGCAAAAATATATGATTTTGAATTTCTATCTGTTCACCGTAGGAATATCTGTTTGATTAGCTGCCTCGGAAATTAAATTGAAGGCCTTATCGGCCACAGAACCCGAAATTGACTGCGCCATTGTGATTGGCATAATTTTTAGAGCCTACGGTGGAATTTAATTGAAAATTGATTTGAGTTAGATTAAATTGATTTAATTAATGGTTTAGTGCCCAATTATTTGATATTTATATTTTTGGCTAGTGGGACTTATTTTAAATGGGCATTCTACACTCGATTCCCTTTTTATATTCATTTGGGCTTATTCCAGCTCTAAGATAGGAGAGGGGAGGGTCGGCTATAGAAGGAAAAAGGAGAGAGTTGTACAATTTTGGTTCAAGACTTGAATCTCTTGAAGATCTAGCTCTAGATTTGGCTAGAGCTTGAGTGTTGAAGCTCTTAGGTAAGTGAATTCATGGACTCTTGTTTGTAATTTGTAAGTTCAAAGTTGAAAAATGTTAAAGAACATGAATTGAGTTGGTTTTGTTAAACTTGAAGTCTTAGAACACATGCATGTAGGAAATTGTTATGAATTTCCATATTTGAACACAATATGTGTGTAATTGCTTTGAATGTTGCATGTTTGAGCTCAAAGGGGTATTGTCCATGTAAATTTGTAGTTGAAGCTCATGTATACTCACCATTGGTATCATCTAAGTTGAGAATGGGAGCTAGACATCACATGCATGTACAATCTATGAAGATAAGAGCTTTGAATGCATGAAGGTGTATGTTAGAATTGAGTTTGGTGTCAATTTGAGCCATGCATGTGTTAAATCCTTGAAATTGAGCTCCATGATGATGTGTTTTGGTGCTTACACCATGTTAGAACAAGTATATGTGAGATTTGAGCCATGAGATGCAAGATATGTTGGCTTAAAGGTCGAATTCGAACTCTAGAACACAATCTGGAAAACCCAGAAATTTTATGTCCGCTCGAGCGGGGAACCTGCCGCTCAAGCGTTATTTTCGTGCTCCCAGCATTTTTGCAGACTTGGATGTCCGCTCGAGCGGGTAATTTAACGCTCGAGCGGGGAACTTTTTAAACAGGCCTTCCGCTCGAGCTCCCTATTTCACGCTCGAGCGTATTTTTGATGCAACCAGCACTTTTGCAGGCCTTAAGGGTACGCTCGAGCGGGGAAGTCCACGCTTGAGCGGGGACCCTGTTTTGCTGAAATTTTGTTTATGCATTTTGTGCTCTTTTTTCCGTTCCCTTTTACTTCCAAGTACTCTTAGGCATACATTGAGCATTGTAATTGAATTAAAGAGATAAGAATGAAGCCTAAAGAGGAATATGTGAATTTAAGAATGGATTGAACTGTTAGTGACCCTTTTGTGTTCATTAAATGTGTAGGGTCAAGCTCCAGGGCAAATCCACAAGTCGATCACTGTGAGCAATATCGATATTTGAAAGCTTAGCAATGTTCAACTGTTTATTCCCTTATAAGCTTTATGGGTTGCTAATTGGGATTGTGGACAAAAGTCTGACATGAACGAATGAATGGACCGAAGGTCGTTTCGATATGAATAAATGGACCTAAGGTCGTTTTGATAGAAATAAATGCACCTAAGGTCGTTTTGACATAAATGAGTGGGCCGAAGGCCGTTTTGACACGAATGTATGGGTCGAAGGCCGTTTTGACGTAAACGAATGGACCGAAGGTCGTTTTGACAGAAATGAATGGACCGAAGGTCGTTTTCATAGAAATGAGTGGACCGAAGGTCGTTTGGACATGTATGAATGGACCTAAGGTCGTTTTGACATAAATGAGTGGGCCGAAGGCTGTTTTGACACGAATGTATGGGCCGAAGGTCGTTTTGACGTAAACGAATGGGTCGAAGGCCATTTTGATAGAAATGAATGGGCCGAAGGCCGTTTTGACATAAATGAATGGGCCGAAGGCCGTTTTGACATGAATGGAAATCTGAACGGGCCAAAGGCCAGAATGTTTGGAACTACAGTCACTTGATTTGAATTTCGTATAGTTATATATCTGTTAAATAGAAATATGAATTGGGCCCAAGGCCGTTTGGAACATGTTGTTCTACATTGTTATGTAACTTCTGTATTTGATTCGATATTATTCACTGGGCTTTCGCTCACGCTTGTTCATGTGTTTGTAGGTGAGCCAAGAGAAGTCCAGACCCAGTCTCAGTGAAGTCTATATGTAACAACTAAGGTTTTGAGAGAGTCAGCCCTGTGTCTCACGCACGAGACCCGTCTTCGCCCTTTTGTTATGTATTTACATTTTGTCACGTTGGCGAAGTTTTGAATACGTCTGTATATGGTTTTCATGGGTTGACTTAGTTTGGATGATCCTGTCTGTATAGAATCTTATGTCATTACACTTTCTGTTGTGAGTTATTTACATATGTACATATGGAATGTTATGGTGTGCATATAAGCACGGCTCTATGGACAAAGTTTTAAATTTGTTTCCGTTTGGCCCCTTTTACTCTGATGAGTCTTGTCTTATTTGGT